CTGTTGGTGGTTTCTCTTGCAGTGCAGAAGCTTTTTAATAAGATGAGATCCCAGCTGTTGATTCTCTGTGCTAGTTCCCATGCTACTGAGGATTTGTTCATTAAGTCTTTTCCTATGCCAATGTCTTCAAGAGTTTTGCCTAACCTATCTTCCAGTAACTTTAGTGTTTCTGTTTTAATATTTAGATCTTTAATCCACTTGGATTTTAGTGCATGGTGAAAGATAGGGGTCTTGTTTTAATCTCTGGCAAGTTGAAATCCAGAAACTACTTTCTTTAATGACTGAAAAATGAATCTTGCTCTAACTCCTTTACAGATATATCACTTCTATCCCAATCAATCAATTAATTTATCAATGGAATTATAGGTGGTGCATCTATTAGTAACTGGTTCTTAAGAACTGGGATTTAAACTATAAAGTTCTGCAAGTTTTGCTAATAGTGAATTACACCATCACCAAAAGGTATTCTGGTTTAAGGGACCTTGGTTCTATATCAGGCAGGATATCATTACTATTAGTAGTTTCTTCAGAGTAGAATTTTAGATGTAGCACAGAAATAACAAGCTTATGATGAAAAAGAAGAAGCTGAATTTTCCCAACTCCTACACATGAACTCTTCATGTTAATTATTTTCTCCATTGAGCTTTGCTATGGTGTTTCCAGAATGTTCCCTAAAGACTGATCTGTTCAAAGGCTTGGTCACCAGCCTGGGGCACTAGTGGGAAGCAGTGGAACCTCTGGGTAGGTGAGGGCTAGTGGAGGCAAGTTAGGTCATTCTGGGTGTGTCCTTGAAGGGAATACTGGGGCACTGGCCTCTTCCTGTTTCTCTTTTCTTGTGTCCCAGCAACTAAGAGGTAAAGGCCCTGTAACACTGTGCCACTGTGGGCCCCAAGCAACAAAAACAAATGACCATGAACCAAAGCCTCTAAATCTGTGAGCCAAAATATACTCTTCCTCTTTATAAGCTGACTATATTTTGTCACAGTAATAGAAAGGTTACTATCATAAGCTTTTAACCCAATTTATTTGAAATAAGTATTCCATTATTAAAAGCGAGCTCTACAGGTACCATTTTTTTTTTGCCTGTCCTATCCATCAGCAACCTTAACACATTTTCATGTATTTCTTGAGGTTGCCCATTTATTTCTTTTGCTGTAATAATTCCTCAACTTACTCAAGTAACTAGAATTTGTATTGTATTGCTTTGCCTCTAATTTTTCTCCTCAACACCATGTTCCAAAGTCCATAAAAAGACTAAATTATTGTCAGGTATAATAAGTGTACCTGTGATCAAATTTTGGAAATTTTATAAACTAGACTGTAATCAGAAGATAAAAGATCATTGAAGTATTTTTATTTTAGTAAATAGTCTTTTAAAATCTTTAATAAAACCTGTTTCACTCATGAGCAAGGGTATAACAAGGGATTGTTAATGTAAAAATATAAAACATTACAAAAATTAAAGATAAGGAAAAAGAGAACTCTGTGGATGAGATCACCAAGTAAATCCAAGGTAAAAGCACAAGGGTACACATTTCAAAGACGTGTTAGACACCTGAACATAATCCACGGATTTAACACAGAGCATACTGACATCGTTTCCTCAGTGCTCGAGTTTTTCTTAAGATCCCATATATGGAATAGTAACCTGAAGGCTTGAAAGTTTTGCAATAATATGTAAGTATCTAATACAGATAAAGATTTTAGTCTCAACTTTAATCTCAATTGATAATATGGTTTTGAATCATTGCGTAATGTCTCTGAATTTATTTTTCATAATTATAATAGAGAGAAGTTAGACAAAATGTTTCCTAAACTTGTCTCAAGTCTGTATATATTGTAGTTCTGCCCAACTAAATCTGTAAGAATAAGTACACTGGCAAGATAAACACAGAAAATTTCTACATAGGGAAGTAGAAGCTAATTCACTTATCAATTTAATATGTTCACTTGAATATTTGTCAGAAATTTTCCCTTTTAGAGGCAGACAGCTCATCTTTTACAATATGGATCCTATGGCTGTTAAGCTTAATAATCATCAATTTGATTGGCTTGGGAGCCCCCAAGGGCTAATCCAAGGGGATTAGCAGAGCCCACTTCTGGGTTTGTCTGGGTAGGTCAAGGATCTGTGAGCTTGGGGTCTATATGTGGACTCTGGCCCCTTCCTCTCTGGCACTGCTCTCCTGCTCTTAGCTTTCCGGCCTCCTTGAAGTAAACAGGTTTGTTCTACCATACCCTTCTGCCATGATGTTTCCATCTTGGAGCCAGCTCACCAGGAACTAAAACTCCTGAAACCATGAGCCAAAAAAATCTTCCTTCCTTTAAGGTGTAGGTGTCAAGTAGCTTTCCTGAATGATGGGACAGCTGACCAATATAGAGACAAATAGCACAATTTTTATAGAATAAATTTTTAAAGTTTTTCCAGAAAAGAACTTATGGTACACATGATATCATTATAACAAAATGTACTAAGCATTTCCTTTGTGCTAGGCATTGTGCTCATGGCTTTTCCCCTTAATTTGTACAATCATGCTTTCTGGCATGTATTCTGATCATCAACATTCTATAAATAAGGTATCTGATGGTTAAAATGATTAATTACTTTGCTTTAGTTTATCCAGAAAAGTGATGAGCTCAGGATTTGATACCAGGAAGTCTTTACTTTTAATCACTGGTATGCAATTTTAAAATAGTAATTTAAAATTTAATTTAGAAGACATATGCACAAATATTAACATATTAAAAAGTAAAAACAAAAGATTAGAAGGTATCTAATGAAGTAGGGGCCTTTCCTCCCATTACTCCTCTTTTCTAGAAGCAATCATCTCTATCTTTTGGAGCTCCTTCTTCTGGTATTTACATCTACATTTCTAAGCAACATGATTATACAGATATTTATTCATTTTAAAAAATTTTAGACATTCTTGACTCTTTTACAGTAGAGAAGGAATAAACTTTGTCATGGATCACTGGGCTCCAATGACTGTTTCAGCACAGTTTACAGTTAGAACAATAGCCATTGTTTCCATTACAGTTATTTAATATTTTTCACATTTCAGCTATGAGATATGCTATGGTTATGTTTCTTTTCTTATAAAAATTTTTGACCTTTTGGAATTAATTCTCCATCTCTCTCTCTCTCTCTCTCTCACTCAAGTTTATATTGTTGCTTCTTCTCCCTCTCCTATAGAGCTAATTCTCTTCTAGTACAGTTAAGCCTCTCAGGTGGTCCAGTTCCCTGGAAAGCTCTCTCCTTAGGCCCCCACCCCTGCTCCCACCTGGCCCGTGCTGGATGCTGCAGGACAACCATCACCAGGAACTCTGCTCCATCTCCATCCTGGGAGTTCTTTTTAAAATTCTATTTTTGATGAACATGCATCAATTTTGTACATACTGCTGGGGCTCAGTGTGCTGTTTCAACACACACATTACACGCATATGGTGTGCACTGATCAAACCCTACCTCCCTTTACATATCCTACCTCCCATCTCAACCACCACAAATCACTATTCTATATTCAAATCTACCTTTTTAAAAAAAAAATTTTACATATAACAGAGACCATGTAGTATTTTATTTTCCTGTTTCTGGCTTATTTCACTTAACATAATGTTTTCTACTTCCACTGATTTTACTGCAGATGACAGGATTTCATTCATTGTTACAGCTGAATGACACATCATTTTTCTTTCTCTGAGTTGAATATTATTCTTCCTACCACTTTGCTGTTAGAAAAATGGGTGCATACATGGTAAAATTTTTGTATATTAAATTGTAGAATATAAAATTCTAAATATTAAGAAACTTTCCCAGCCTTTCAAAGAAAGTATACCATTATCTTCCAGATCTCATTTTTGTTTTGGAGAAATCAGATATTTTGCACCCTGAAAACTTTAAAAATCTCCTCTTTATCCCTCATCTTGGCAAAACTATAATGTGGTGTGCCTGGCCTGGCTTTGTTTTGTTTTAACTTTTCTTGGTCACTTGTGAGGCTCTTACGATCTGGAAGTATTTGCTTTTCATTTGAGATTATTTTTAACATTACTACTTGATAATTTCTTCTACTTTTTAAAAATTCTTTGGGGGATTTTTATTGAAAAACTGACCTGGATCTTGAAACTCCTGGATTAATCTTTTAATTTTATTATAATTCTCTCCTATTTTTCATATATTTATCTTTCTGTTTCACTTTGTGGGAAATTCGCTCAATTCTGAAAGTTTCTTTAAAAAAGACAATGGCATCCCCTTTTTTTAGTGCAAAAATCTGGGTTTTTTATAAGTATTTTTCTCCTTCCATAATCTGTTTCTTTTTATTTGTCCCCTCTCCCATTTCTTTTGGTTTATTTTTTCAGGGGGGAAGATTTCTTAAGCAGTGGAGGTTCTTGCCTACCCACACAGCTAAGAACGTGGCAGGGCTGCAGGAGCAATTCAGTGGTGGAGCACTTGCCTAGCATGCCTAAGGCCTCCTGTTCAATCCCTGGGACTGCAAGGAGGGGATAAAGCTTAAGAGAGTCAGTCACTGCATGCTGTGAACTAATGAATGCCAACCCAGAGCCATCACTTTAAAGAAGCTGGGTAGGAGTCTTTGCCTAGTTTCCTTAATTATCACCACCTAAAGGTATTTTTCCTCATCTGGTCAGTTTCTTCACAAAGACCGCTCCCATTTTGGGTTGAGTGATAAGCTACTGACAGGAGACGGGAGATGGGTTGCAGAGTGAGCTGGCAGTCAGATGTTTGGCATAGAGCCATTCACCTCGTCTCCCTATCTTTAATACACTGACTCCGGGCCTAAGGGTGTGCTGATGCCCAAGCCCAAAGCCACTGTGCTTTGCCTTCACCAGAGAATGTTTCTCTGGTCTGCTGCCAGAGTGAGTGCAGCAAAGCCGCCTGGCATTCTGGGCGGCCGAGGATCTGCCAGTCTAACCACCCCGGATCCTGACTAAAGCAACAATTCTCTTTGCAGCTTTGCAGACAATGCAGCTCACCTTGACTTGATCTGTTTTCTGAGCCTTGGAACTTTGTAACATGAATCACCTTTCTGCTAATGCCCTCAGTATTCCATCCTGCTAATGTCCTCAGTATTCCTCTAGCCACTGTCCATCTTCCAAGATTCGACTGGATGTTACTCAGCTCTAACATTTTTTCTCCTCTTCACTTTGTCATTGTGAGTTTTACCCTTTTGTTCTCCCTTTACTATGATTTCACTGTGTATTTTGCAGTAGGTAGGAGTATAAATGCATTTGATCAATTTGCCATATTTAACTAGATACTTTTTGTACATTAGCTAAGTTATAATTGGCCATTAGCAGTATACATCTTATCAGTGATACACATAGTTACCATCATTATTATGTTCTCCAGGAGAATTTGGGGAGCCTCACAACGCAATCATCAAAATCTCAAACAAAAGCACCTTTCAAAGAATTTCAAACTTAAAATTTTTTAAACGCAATGCTAATTTTAATATTTAAATTCAACTGCAACTGTATTTTAACATCTATTCTCATCAGCTTAAATCATCTGTGAAAAAAATAAAGTGAGTACATTAAATATTTTGTGGGATTTTTAAAATAGATGCTATTTATGAGTTATAGTGGTTTCAAGTTAAGCAACTTGGCTACAATGGCCTAAATGTAATGGAAGAAACCAGAGTCTGGTTAGAATTTTCAAAAGCAAGCTGAAGACGTGGAGTAACAAGACTTCATGTGAGGAACTGACTGTGTTCACTATGGGTAACTAGAAGCTGATATGCTCAGTCATCTGTATGTATTTTCAGGGTCATTCTCATTTGCTCTGTTGGGTTGTACATTACATATACCAGTGACATGTGCTGACACTGCTGCATACACGAAGGAGAAATTACAATGTGTGCTCTAAAGGTCATGCAACACTTCTTACAGAACACAAGTTTTTAAACTAAAAATTCTCAATATGCACTGTAATCTTTCCCAAATGCTATAGGCAGAAAAAAGAGCTCCATTACTATAGACTTAAAAAACTAACCCACAAATAAATAAACAATCTGATGATGTTTTGGATACATCACTAAAACTCAACCTTACCTACTGTCTTAGAGTGGCTCCTGGAGGACCAGTGACACTAGCACTATGATGGAACAAGTGTCTTTGTAAGAGTCAACTGCAGTGACATGGAACTGATTTTCCTCAACACTTCCCTACACAAAGCTTCCCTTTCCTCACCAGTCAGGCCTAGCTTCCTTCTCACGTTCCATCTTGAGTCACCAACCTAACCTACCCCATTACCCTGGCCAGATAGACAGTTATTCATTTCATTGTTTTCAGTTTTACCTGCTGCTCGTTAAGCTTTCTCTGTATCTCTTCTGAGTCACAGGAATCGTAGACTATGGGTTTGGCCAGTTCTGACTCGATTTGGGCTAGCCAAGCCCTTAGGCTGCTCATGTTCTTATCGAGCTGCTGCACAGCCACCAGAGTCTCCTTCAGCTTCTTCACCCTGTAAGCAGAAGCCAAACACCCAGTGTCAGTAAAGCCTGGCTCACATCACCTTGGTGTAGAGAAGAGCATGCTGAGTCTAAAGCCAAATCGCCCTGGTCCATCCTAGCTCAGCCACTTACAGGTTGCAGAGCCTTCCTGTGTCTCTGTTTCCTCATCTACAAAATGGGAGATTTAAATAAGTGGGATAATGCAGGGTAATTTCAATAAGCATTACCAACTATTATACTCAACACAGTCCCAACATGGACAGAAACCCCAAGGTTGTCACAAACATTATTTCCACAAAGAACATAATTTATATTCCTACAAGGAATATCTAAGAGAAATACTTTTTAAAACATTTCCAACAGATTGTCATTGAACAGATTATGTAGCCATGGTTCTGATACTGACCAAATATAATTTTGGCACCGGTGGGTTGTCTTTCAGCGCTTTTTGAGTTGAAACTCAGTTATAGAAGAAAACATATTTAAGATAAACTATCAGGTTATGTGAGGGTGAGGCTCGGGGTGAAGCCCTTGCCTACCATATGTGAAGCCCTGGATTTAATCAACCACAACCAGAAAAGGTGAGCTTTTTAGAAAAGAGATAAATGATAGTGATATATTACATTCATTCAAGCAATTTGAGTTTGACTAATGAAAAATCATGTGATGGATAATCTTGACTATCAATTTGACTGGGTTAAGAGACACTTCAGAGATCAGTAAGGCGGACTTCTTGGTGTGTCTGGGAGAGTCATGGGGACAGGACCGTAGGAACTACAGCTAGCCCTGGCCCCTTCCTCTTGCACTTCTTTCCTGTGCTTTGCTTGCTGGGAGCCATCAAGTGAGCAACTTGGTTCCGCCATACCCTTCTACCATGACATTCCTGACTTGGAGCCAGCTGACCATGGATTAAAACTGAAACTGTGAGTCAAAATAAACCTCTCCTTCTTAAGTTGTGGGTGTTAGGGATTTTGCCCCAGCAATGGAAAAGCTGCTCAATACAGATCACATTAAGGGTAAGCAACGATCCACTGGACCCCTTCTTTGTGTAATATCCTGATTTCAAAAAAGTGCCCCTCCCATCCACTTTCTTTAAAATAGTCACTTACCTAACAATCATATGTGGACATCTTAGGTGTGAGATACTGGGAAGACAAAGGTAAATAAGGCAATTTTTTCTCTTCTGAAATTTACAATCTGTATAGAAATCTGGACATGTAAACAATGAAATATAACAGAATATGGTAAGAACTAAGCTAAAGAAATAAGCCAAGCTTGGTAAATAACTAAAGAGAGATCAGTTGTGTCTGGCCATGTTCAAGTAACACTTATTTATTCACTGAGTATTTGGTTCTTTCTTTATTCCTTCTATAAACATTTACGGTGCTGGGAAGATATGGTGTTAATGACAGAAATATGGCAACAACTGAAGCATTATTCTTGCCAGTGAGGAGTGTATATTGTGATGGAAGAGAAATGAAACAGTAACATTTGAGCTGCATCTTGAGAGATGGATGCAAGCCTAAAAGAAGCCTTCTGGCAAGGAAACTGATGGCAGAAAAGCAGAGATGTAGAAGACAAATGGTGTCATGGTACCGGCGAGAGTTGAGGTAGAGAGGATGGGGAAGAGAAGCCAAAGAGAGATAACGTGGTAGGAGGGAAGAAGGCTGGGAAGGCTGGGGTAAGATTATAAATGTATTTAAAGACATGATGGGTTTCTGTGCTGTTTTAAGGCTAATAGGAACTTTGCTGAGATTTATTAGCAGAGAAATGATAAGATCAGTTCTAATTTTTGCGTATGTAAATTTGACATAAAGATGTCGTGGGAACCAGTTCAAGGAAGCAAACAGAATTATCCAACAGTTCACATCAATAGCCTGCTCTTGGGAAACAGTGGGAAGAGAAGTGAGGATCAAATTGCTAAGTTCATAATTGGCATGAGGTGAGGCAAGAGAAGTTAAAAAGATGTGTTTTCCATTTGTGTGACCAGGTGGATGCTATATGAGAATGAGCAAGTTCTTGGGATTAATTTGGGATATGATATATCCAAAGTACCAGATAGAAACATAAAGAAATGTAGTTCTAAGGTCTTGAAGAGAAAAAGGAAATTTTATCCCATCAGTTTAGGCTGGTTGGCATAGTTGAAGCCCTATAAACAAATGAGTGTCATCCTGAGAGTCTGCAGACTACAAAGAATGAATTTTAAAAGGCTGGTTAAAAAAGGAGGAATCAGTTATACATTTTGGTCCTCATTTACACATGTGTAAATACTGAATAGTTTCTCTGGTGTGAGAAACTGAAAGTGTAAATGAGGACCAAGATGTGTAATTGATATTGTGAAATAGGAAGAGAAGGTCCAAAGAGGAAGAGGAGCTGGGGTGGGGGAGAGAAGGGAAAAAAGGGAAGAATTGCAGATACATCTAGGCTATGAGGCAGGGATTTAGGGGAAACTGGCATCAAGGACAGAAGAGTAGGGATAGATAAATCAGTTTTGCAAAGTTTCCCATTGTGGGAAAGGTGTGAGCAGGTATTTCGGAGGGATATAGTATATTTCTCAGCTCTGTTATTATCAAGGAATAGCAAATATTGATTATGAATACTAGTGGAAGGCCTGACATGGCTGAGAGTGCACAGATTGTTCTAACAAGAAGAGTCATAGTGACGACAAGCCCCTGATCAATAATTTCTGGTCCAGCCCTTATTTAAAATGAAGTTCCACCTTTAGACCAGAAGTCCTCCTTTTGGATTTGGAAACATGGTCACCTCATTAGCACTCCTCTTAATATAAGTATGCAGCAGAGAAGCAAAAAATATCTCAACATAAAGGGTGTCACTTTGCCCCTAGTGAAGAGGTATCTTCTTGAAAAAATGTCAGGAGATGTTATTTTTAAGACTATGGGGGTGTTGTATGGTCAAAGATAGCATCTGTATCACTTCTCAGCCTTTTGGCTAAGATCAAGTGTAGCACAACTCTATGAAGCCCAACAGAGAGAAGGTACCATGCAAGGTAAAACACTAAAGGGAAAGGGGAGAAAATAAGAAATAAAAGAGCCAACAATAGTAAAACATCATGACAAGGATGAGTCAATATCTCTCAATTATAACTATCAGTGTTAATGGCCTCAATTCACCAATCAAAAGAAATAGACTGACAGAATAGACTAAGAAGCAAAACCCTGGAATATGCTGAACAAGAAACACACCTAAC